CCGGAGTCAGAGGTTAGACCGCCTGTAGTTTGGTGATGTGGCAAGTTCTGTTTAATTTACAGCTTAATTATAAGCCTTAACCTCTCATGCCTTTGTGTTTAACGGTATATTATTTATATTGAACAGTGTTTGTATTAGTCCTGTTAGTTTTTGAATAAGATACGAGCTTTATTGATCTCACAGAGTAGAAATTCACTGGTCACACAGTTCAAAAGGAGGAAAAGGTGCATGAATTACAAACAGCAAAAACAAACAAATATACAAAGAAGCAACACAGCGCAGAGATTTGAGTAACTAAAATATGTACAATCATTGATGGCTCACACTCAGTACACAAAATCATCTTATGCAAATGGCTGCTGGAGAAGAGGTAACTGTCAATATGAGCTTGAATCACATCATCCATCACCCGTATTCCTGATTTGTTGTTTAGTTAGCTTTAGCTCAGAGACCAAAAGAATTCCACCATGATCTGGAGTCAGAATTTAGCCCGCCTGTAGTTTGGTGAGGTGGCAAGTTCTGTTTAATTTTCAGAATCAGAATAAGGTTTATTGCCAAGTAGGTTTTTAGACTTACAAGGAATTTGCCTTTGTGTTTGGTGCACAACATTTCTATGAGAAGCAAGAAATAAAAATATAGAACTGAATGTGAAAATGAACAATTGAAATGTTTAATGTTGATGTGCAACGACAGACCAGATAATGCTGACAGTAGCTTAATTATTATAAGTCTTATGCTCTCATGCCTTTGTGTTTAATGCTATATTATTTGTATTGAGCTGTGTTTTTATTTGTCCTGTTAGTTTCTGAATAATCATCTTATCCGAATGGCTACTGGAGAAGAAGTAATCAATCAATCAATGTAAATTTATATAGCACTTTACAACAACCGGAGCTGACCAAAGTGCTTTACAGAATAAAAACAGATCAAACTATCGAAATATACAAAGACAAACACATTGGTGACAGAACCCAGTATACAGAGATTTTACGTGCAAAAAGCCATTCTGAACAAATGCGTTTTAAGTTGAGCTTTGGAAAGAGGCAGGTCAGTAAATGAACAAACTGATGGACATCATGGAGGTCATCAGCAGCCAGAGGAGCTGTTCAGGGACAGACCAATAGACTTAAAAACTATTTTGTCCCCCATGCCATCAGACTGTAAACGCCTCACTGGGGGCGAGGAGGTGAACCAGGACAGGGGGAAGAGATATTACATACACTGTACTTAATCTGTATTTTTTGTATTTTTATTTAGTTATTTATTTATTTATTTATTTTTTTTGCTTAATTTACACACAACTCCTATTATATACACTTTACTTAATCTGTATTTTTTATTTATTTATTTAAATTTTTTTGCTTAATTTAATTTTAACTTAATACTTTTTGCCTTGTAAGCTGCTGGTAACCTTAATTTCCTGAGGGAGTCTTCCAAAGGGGATCAATAAATATACTTACTGTCTAACACAGTTTAGGACCTGTCACTGCAAAAAAAAGCGGTCACCCCACTGTTTGCACCTGGACCGTGGGACCTCCAGCAGTCAGTCTGTGCTTGAACCCCATCACCCGTATTCCTGTTTGTTTTCCCGGTATTCCTGTTTGTCTCCCATCACCGTATTCCTGTTTGTCTCCCATCACCGTATTCCTGTTTGTTTTCCATCACTGGTATTCCTGTTTGTTTCCCATCACCAGTACTCCTGTTTGTGTTTCCCATCACCGTATCCCTGTTTGTGTTTCCGGTATTTCTTTTTGTTTTCCTGGTATTCCTGTTTGTTTTCCCGGTATTCCTGTTTGTTTTCCCGGTACTCCTGTTTATTCCTGGTACTCCTGTTTGTCTCCCATCACCGTATTCCTGTTTGTTTTCCCGGTACTCCTGTTTATTCCTGGTACTCCTGTTTGTGTTTCCCATCACCGTATTCCTGTTTGTATTCCCGGTATTCCTGTTTGTCTCCCATCACCGTATCCCTGTCTGTGTTTCCGTTATTCCTGTTTGTTTTCCCGGTATTCCTGTTTGTTTTCCCATCACCCGTATTCCTGTTTGTTTCCCATCACCGGTATTCCTGTTTGTGTTTCCGGTATTCCTGTTTGTGTTTCCCATCACCCGTATTTCACCGGTATTCCTGTTTGTGTTTCCGGTATTCCTGTTTGTCTCCCATCACCGGTATTCCTGTTTGTGTTTCCGGTATTCCTTTTTGTTTTCCCGGTACTCCTGTTTGTTTTCCTGGTATTCCTGTTTATTCCCGGTATTCCTGTT